CCATCCTGTGTCTGTCTGCAAGTGATCGGAGTCAGTACCTCCCCTCTTCCATCCTGTGTCTGTGTGGCATACTGCGTAGCCACACGGGCCTACAGCTGTCTCTTATACACATCTAGATGTGTATAAGAGACAGCACACACACACACACACACAGAGTTTGATATATGTCTTTTTGTCTGTCTTCCTTCCTGTTTTTTCTCTCTTTTGCTTCTATTATTTTTCTTTTTGCGCGTTTAAGTGAGCACCTCTAAGAGCCAAATGGTTGGTCGTTCCTCGTTTGGAGTGCCTGCTGCATTATTAGGGGCACTGCTTGGTTCAGGATGGATGTGTGACCTATGGGTGATGATGGATGCTCGTCACAGTGACTCCCCGGCTCAGCGACTGGTTGGGACCACCAGTCTGCGGCGTTCACTTGTGGTGTGAGTAGGTGATGTATTGCTTTCCTCCGTGTTGGATATGTTTACTGCCTTGTCTAAGCTCCAAAGCTTCCTCGCTGCCCATACCGCTTACCCCCCATGGCGCTCTTTGCAGCTGGTGTGTTCCCGTGTAGTTTGGCTGCGTTGTTGGCGTTTCCTTGAGCTCCGCTGCATTGTTGCCTTGCTGCCCATCTGTGTGCCTTGTCTTCGTGTGCACTTTGCTCATGTGCCGTGTGGTTTGGCTGGTTGGCAGTGTCGCCTTGTGCTTCGCTGTGTTGCTGCCATGCTGCCCGTCTGCTTACACTGTCGTTCCATGCAGTTAGCGATGCCCATGGCGCTTTGCAGTTGGGTTGCCCCGGCAGCGTTGCCTGGTGCTTCGCTGAGTCGTTGCCTGCTGCTATGTTCCGCTTGTGGTGATGCCTGGTGGCAGTATGGAGGTTTTTTTTTTTTTTTTCTCTTGTGGACCATTTCTCGATTTGTGCGTGTCATCGTTGTGCAGGGGCCATGCTAATCTTCCTTCTCCGTACCGTTCCAGTTTTAGCGGATGTCCCAAAGGACACGCGTTTGTGTGTTTAATTTTTCAGTACTCGTGTTCTTTTCTGGTTTGCTGTGTTTTGCCTTGCTACTGTTTGGCTTGGCACCTTTTCGTTTTTTGCATTGTCCTGACAAGAACAGCAGTTTGCGTGTGTGTGTGTGTGGCGTGGGTATGTAGTATATAGTATATAACCATGTTGTTGGAACAAACGACCCTCCAAGGAATCGAACCAGCGATCATGAGCTAAACAGCAAGACGGCTGAACCACTGCAACCGTGACCCATGTTCTAATGAGGAATCATACCGGCCTTGATATCCACCCCATCCCCTTCAAGGTTGCAGTACACGCACACACACTCTTGCAGGCGATTAGCCCTGCTCAAAGCCGCCAAGCCTGGGTACTATTTCCCCACCAGTTTTCATGCGTATTATTAAAAATTAATTCCTCCCCCGGCCAGTTGCCATGCTAAATCCTGGGCACCGGGCAGTTCATTTTCCCTCTTTTTGTGCGGGTTGGCACGTGCGATTTTTTTTCTTCCTAGTATTCAGTATCCACATAAAAAACAAATTAATTGTCATTGTCATGTAACTTATAACATAAAAAAAAAATAATAATAATAATAATAATAATAAAAAAAAAATGCTGAACTGACAACTACCTTAGTGGACATCAGCCGCACCCTCAAACAACCCGGAAGGCAGACATTTGATTCAAATTTCAAATTGATTGTCTTTTTTTCGGTGCCATGCACCCCATTCTCTGATTTTGGTGCCATGCACCCCTTCTCTGATTTCGGTGCCGTGCACCCCTTCTCCGATTTCGGTGCCGTGCACCCCTTCTCTGATTTTGGTGCCGTGCACCCCTTCTCTGATTTTGGTGCCGCACCCCTTCTCTGATTTTGGTGCCGTGCACCCCGTCTCTGATTTCCGTGCCGTGCACCCCTTCGTCAATATGGCGACAGCGAAGCAGCACCGACAGCACCATCATGGCCAAGCCGAACAGCTCCTGGAGCAAAGTGAAAACCCACACAACACTTGGCTCCCTGCACCCATTTACAACTGGCAGTGCCAGAAAGAATGTATATTCCATGTATATATTCCACCCCCGGCCCAGAAGGGAAAGAAAAGATTGATATCGATACCCAGCCTGGGATTTCCCCCCCCCCCCCCGGAGGATACTGCCTCAGAAAAAGTCAGCAGGCACATCACTCGGCTCCTTGTACCCATTTACAACTGGCAGCGCCAGAAAGACGGATATCAATACCCAGATGTGCTCGCTCCCCGCCCGCCTGCCCAGTCTATTCGGGTGAAAACGGTAGCCATCTGATCACAAGCAGAGAAGACTAAGAGTGACAAGACAGACATGGAGGTACTGAGACCAGACTATCATCCCGACTGCTTAAGTGAGCTTCAATTTTACTATAATAATAACAATAACATTAATTTCCTAAATTCCTATATCATTATCGAATTATTGAAAGACGGGGCACATGGAAGACGACGACGATGACGACGACAACCACGACGACGACGACGAAGAAGAAGAAGAAGAAGAAGAAAAGGGAGGAGGAGGACGGTGAATGGTGAAAACGAGAAAGTTAATATTTCACTCCTGCGGGTAATCAATGCTGGCAGGACGGCAGCATGCCCAGCGGTTTAGGGATCTTCAATAGGCCGCTCGGCGGGCGTGTAAGTACAGCTCCGGGGTACGTCACGATAGAAGGCCTGTAGGAGAACATCTCTATCTCTGTTTGCCAAGAATGCCAGCAGGTGCCGCTCCCCACCAATAGATGGAGCCTCCTGAGAATGATGGGGGCGTCCGGAGATTAAAAGGGGGGGAGATGCTAGTATGATTTCAGTATGGCTTAGGGGGAGGGAGGAGCTAGCGTGTAGCTGTGTATCCGGCGCCAAATGCAGGGTGAAGAGGTTCCCCCTTCTTTCCAATAGCCTGCTCAGTCAATCCCGTGGATCCCAGGGCAATCAATGCTGGCAGGAACACTCCATAATTTTTTCTGATGTACTCCCAAAATTCAGTTGATGTACTCCAAATTCAGTCTGTATAAGGGACGGTGGACCCGCTTTCCACCAGGTGATGCTCCCAACCAATAGATGGAGCCTCTCCCCAGCAGGTGCTAGTGGTGTCTGCTCTTACCAGCACCACTAACACTGGTGGGCGCGTTTCTTTCAAAAAAAAAAAAAACACCCCTGCAATCTTAGCAGGAAAAATAAATAAATAAAGGTGACTTGTACTGACCAGCGATTCAAGCAAAGTGTGTTGTTTCACTATCATAAATGCTTTTGCTGTGTCATGTCTTGTACTCTGTTATGCAAAGATGAGTTTTGGTATTGTTCTCTTTTCTGACACACTTGAAATAGGGTGTTCAAAGGCGATTCGATTTATCAAAAGCGGCCCTCCCCTGCTTGGCTACCACACTACCCGGCGCGTCTTGGATTTCAAGCGGGCAAAGGTACTGGTGGTTTAGACTTTGGAAGAAGGATCGATGATAGACCAACTACACATAGTGTTAGTATGAAGGTTTCTGCCACAAGAGTTAGGCAGATGCTTGGGCAGTGGAGTAATCGGGCATACATGAGAGAAAGGGGCTAGATTTGTGTCACAGTCGTGGCCCGGGCTCTGCTTGGCCGGAGAGCCTTGCTCAACCTGAGTGCTGCGGCGAACTTTGTGAGGGATGCCGGGCCTGGTTCCAGGCTTTTTTGCTAATAAAGTTTGTTCTTTATAAAAAAAAAATAAAAAAAAATCTGGTTCCCAGGACCCACCTTCTGCAAGACATGCAACCCCGCACCTTAAACGATGAACAATCAAGGCCATATATGTCCTCGTTCGTGTTTGAGTGCTCGTGCTCCTACAAGAAATGCACCCGTGCACCTTAAATGAATACCGCGCACCGCGCAAGGCTGTATGCGTCCATGTTCGTTTTTCGCGTGCTCGGCGTCCTACAAAACATGCAGCCGTGCACCTTAAATGATTTACAAATCAAGGCCACGTTTATTTTCGAGTGCTCGGCCTCCGACAAGACATGCAAGCATGCACCTTAAACGATTAACGATCAAGGCCGTACGGTCCATATGGTGTGTCCATGTTCGTTTTCGCGCACTTGGCGTCCTACAACACATGCAACCGTGCACACCTTAAATAAGTACTGTGCAAGGGCGGCCGTATGCGCCCATGTTCGTTTCTGAGTACTCGCTGTCCATGTTCATTTTACAGTGCTATTTTATGCACTGTTGTGTGCACATTTGCAAACCGCCACATAAGACAAAAGAGGACAAATTCCATTCCACGAAATAATAGGTGAACAGAATGACACCGACCACTCTTGAAAACAAGGGGAGGGACTCAGGGGAGCAATCACAAGAGCAAGGTTCTCCAACTCTGTGAGGTTGAGCACAGTGTAACGACCATCACAATTGCGAGGTTCCGCCAAATCGGCGTGGCTGAGCACGCAAGTGCCTGCACAGTGCACATGCATCTACTTGATAGTAAGTTGATACACACTTGAAAACATCCATGTTATAGAGCACCAACAGCCGTATCACAAAAAAATAGAAACAAAAGATGTCCATACTGGCTATGTCAATTACAGACTCTTGGATGCCGCCATCTCCATCCCTCCTTTCTCTCTCTCTCTCTCTCTCTCTCTCTCTCTCTCTCTCTCTCTCTCTCTCTCTCTCTCTCTCTCTCTCTCTCTCTGTGTCTGTCTGTCTCTCTGTCTGTGTCTCTGTGTCTCTCTCTCTCACGCATGCACAC